TGTGTGGGGTGGGGGGGTGTGTGTGTGTGTGTGTGTGTGTGGTGGGTATGTGAGCACACATACCACATACACACACACCACACACACACACCATATACCATACACACACACCACATACACAACCACACACACGCCACACACATGCCACACACACACCACACACACACCACATACACACTACATACACACACAACACACACACCACATACACACACACCACACACAACACACACACCACATACACAACACACACACATACCACACACACATGCCACACACACACCACACACACACGCCACACACGCCACACACACCACACAGACACACACCACAGACACATGCCACACACCACACACACACACACACACACACACACACACACACACACACACACAGGGGATATGGCCGCCAGGCCCTCAGCCCCTGCCCCCAGCTCTCCTATCCTGCTTTCGCCTGGAACTTTGTACCTAGTGCCAATACTCATGCTCCCAAAAGCAAGGCCCGAGGCACGAACAGGCTACGCGCAGAGGCTGCCAGAGGAGCACCAGGTCACAGGATCATGCGAGGATCACTGTAACCCGAGACTGTGACCCTGGTCAGCAGGAGCTCCACGTAACCCGAGACTGTGACCCTGGTCAGCAGGAGCTCCACGCCAGCACAGAAGGAAAGGAAGCGGTGCCCGTGCATCCCAGTTGGGTGCAAACTCCCCTTTTCCCTAAACCTCCCTGCTCCCCAGAGCCCGCTTACCATGTTCACCTCCATCCCAATCCCCAGCCTGCCCTGTGTGAGCCAGGTCCCCAGATCATGAACCATCTGCAAGCTAGGCTGTCCAGAGCCCAGGTGGGGAAGGGAAACTCTTCCCAGGGGAAAGAGTTGAGGGACGACGGGAGGGCTGGGGTGGAAGAAGGGCCTGCAAGAGCAGCCCCAGGCCTCGCTGTTCTCTATGGCTTTTTATTCCTATGTGATTCTACTGCTCATTCATATAGGGATTGGAGCCGTGGCGCACGGCGGGGAAAGCCAGCGGAGGGCTCTGACACTGAGCAAGGGAGCCGGAAGGGGGGACAGTGGCACCTCCCTCTCTCAACCCAGGCTGCTGGCCAGGCCAAGGCAGCCATTCCTCTACTCCCACTCGCCTCTTCACCCGCCAGTGGTCACGGGAAAGGGTGTGGGCTGCTGGACCTCGTCACTACCTGGACCCCATCCCAGAGCTGAGACCCCCCACTAAAGGACTGACTGACATCAGAGTCTGGACTTGGTCCCCAGAGGAGTGGCCGAAGGAACTGGGGATGTTCAGCCTAGGACAAGGGCTGTCACAAGGAATCAGCACTGGGCGGCGGGACAAACTTCAGCTCAACCAGAAGTGCAGTCCGTAGCCAAGGGCTGTCCAAAGGCAGAAGGGACATCCATCCAACAAGACCAGGCTGAGGCCGGAGAGGTCATGGTAATGGTGCCACTGTGGAGTCATGGTTGGGTGGGTGGCCAGTCACCCCAGGCTGCAGTCCTTAGGCCTGTCCTCCCCAGGGTCTCTGCGCACACACATCAAAGCTGTCAGGAGCCAGGCTCAACCCTCACATGCTCCAGAGAGACAGGCACAGGCTCTGCGATGTGAGGCAAGTCCTGTATATACCCAGCCCAGCAGACGGGTGTTAAGAGTTCTGCCAGGCCCTGGCACTGTGGCTGCAGCCATACTATGCTCCCCTCCCAGCAGCTCCTCCATGAGGCCTCACTCTGAGGGAAGGCACACTGAGAACCCATGGCATAGTCCTATTTATTTTCAGACACTTTCGCTTCACAGAAAAAAACAGGGTGAGGGGCTTAACAGAGAGGCTGCCTAGGGAGAAGCATGGGAACAGTGAACTGGGTGAGGGGCTTATACTCATCCTCAGGGGTACCTGCTGCCATCCAGAGAGTAGGAGTAGAGGGGAGCCCCCATCTGCCAGTCTGGCTGGAGGGGAATGGACATAGAGCAGAGGCCCTGAGTGAGAAGTGACAGCCAACCAAGCAGCCAACGCCAAGGAGGAGCCCTAAAGCCTAGTGAGGCCCTGAGGAGCAACCTTGGTCTGCCATCTGACCTTGCCCTTGGAGGCCTCCTCTGAACTCCCAAAATGTGACCTATGCCATCACCGAGGCCTCAGGAACAAGAGATGGGTGTCCATGACATTGGTACCTGTCATCCCTGTGTGCAGCAGGTGCAGCCCGCCCTGGAGACGGCAGAAGAAAGTATGTGAGTCATTGTGGGCTAGGAAAGTGGCCATGTCCAGGCCCTCAGCTACAGCCTCGCTGGCAAGCTCAGGTGTGACCCAGGCCCCAGCAGCCTCTGTGGGCCCATCCTGCCCATCGGTGCCACCACTCAGAAATAGCACATCTATAGGCCCCAGTGGCCACCTTCCGAACTCTGCTCCAACACGCAGGGCCAGTTCCTGGTTCCGGCCACCCTTGCCTGAGCCCTGCAGCTGCACTGTGGGCTCGCCACCTGCCAGCAGGCAGACTGGACCCCTTCCCCGAGCCATGGTCTCCAGAGCCTCCTCCAGCTGCAGGTCTGGGATCTGAAGCTCAGCTGCCAGCTCATGGAGCTGTGCATCTTCCTCTACAGAAGCCCCAGCCATGGATGGGGTGAGGTGGGTTCTAGCCACATGGGCCAGCAGCCCGTAGAACCGGGCCACACTTTTCACATCACCCTGCATGGCTGCACTAAGCACCACAGCCTGGTAGCCCAGTGCCTCGGCTTGCCGCTGGGCCTCAGCCAGTGCCAGCACATTAGAGCCAATGATCACGTTCAGGACATGGCCACAGGTGTGTGGCCCATGGGGGTCAGAGTCAGCCCGAGACAGCACAGTCTTCACGGAACGTGGCAGGGCTGCACGGAGGCCATAGCGGTTGAGGATATGCAGGCAATCTTGCACACTGTGGGAACTGGCCACAGTGGGGCCACTGGCGATCACCTCCACAGGGTCCCCCACCACATCGGACAGGATGAGGCTCACCACCTGGGGAAGGGCCACCAGGCAAGGATCAGGCCTATTTCCTCCTCTCCCTAGAGCCCATAAGGATAAATTGCTCCTTGGGTATCCACACACCCTCCCAACTCTGTGCACTTCTTTACCCATGGTTAACCCCTCTCACATGAGCTTGCAGAACACCTGCTTATGCAGGCACCTCCTCACCATCTCTGGCACCCCTCCCATGATGTCACCCAGACAGCCCCATGGTCTTTTACACCATGGCCCTGCCAATTTGTATGCTGTTCTAGGCTTTCATGTCCCTGTCACATGTGGACCTGGCTCTACCAACCCAGGGCTGCCCAGGGAAGAAGTGACTCGAACCTGGGCAGGGTAGGCGGCTTGAGCCAGCCCCCCACCCTTGAGCTGGGACAGGGTCTTCCGAATGGTGTTCAACTCCTGGATGGTGGCTCCACGGGCTGCCAGCAGTTTGGTGAGTGTCTGTTTCTCCTCCAGTGTGACAGGTGGGATGGGGGCAGGCAGCAGGGCTGACCCCCCACCTGCAGAGACAATGAGGGATGAGGCAGAGGGCTATCCCAATCCAGGGAACCAGGCAAGCTGTGGTGACAAGCCCACATTAGGGAAGGGGGGCTGGAAAGGTGGGGTTAGGGTGCCCCCGTGTGGACATGCAATATGTGCACAGTCACCACATCCTGGCCACCTGAGGTTGTCCGCTGCCTTGGGGTACCCCAGGTCTCAGTAGACACTGGAAGAACTAACTATTCCTGAAGAGACTGGAACAGGAGGCAGGGCAAGGGGGACACAATGGAAGATCAAGGAGAGGACTCCATGAGGTCTGAGGGCCTAGCCCCAGGTGACATTAGTACAGACAGCAGCAACAGCAGTGACATTTTCCAAGGACTCTACGGATGTGTCAGGTCCTGGATTAGGTGCTCCCCATGCACCCTCTCACCGTCACCTGAAAAGTCAGCTCCGGGGGAGGACTCCACAGCTCAAGGGAGGCCAGATGACTGGCCCAAAGCAACCCAGGAGTCACCATCCAGGGTCCTCACCGCCTCCCTTGCTCCTAACTTTACCCTGTGACCCTGGGGGCTCAGACCTGATCTCTCAAAGACCTGATATTTGGTGCACTTCCCACCAACTGTCTTGGGTACCACACCTGAGATCAGTACGAGCAGCAGGTCATCAGCTGTGAGTCCCTCAGCCAGCTGCCGGATGGCCAATGCAGCTCTCAGCGCATCACGGTCCGGGAGGTTGTCCTCTGCACCCTCAAATACCTGGACACGGCTATGTGGCTTCAGTAGCATCTCCCTGGGGAGGGAGAGGTCAGAGCGTAAGAGAGGGGGTGGGCTCCTTTCCTCCCACCTGATCTTTCAATTGTACAGATGGCGGGGGAGGAGGGGAGGGGGGGGCGGGTGGCATGGGACATGGCTCATCCTGGAGCCAGGCCAGACCCAGAAGAAAAGGGAAGAGGGTGGGGAGGGGAGGCCCCGATCCAGCCTGGGTCTGGGCCCAGGTTTCCCTCCAGACAAGACAGTGGGAGGCAGCCCCCCATGGCTCCTTACTGCTTGCCAGCACGCTCCATGGCAGCACGGATCCCCTTGGGAATGCTGATCACACCCTGCACGAGATGCTGGCCCAGTAGTTCCTCAGCTGCAGCTGCCATGCCCAGCACAGCCTTGCCAAAGCCCACCAGGTAGAGGTTTTGCTTCAGCTGAAAGTTCCGGTCCCGCACCTTCAGCTGTCTGCCACCAGGGTCCAAGGACAGTGTCCGATGCAGCATGGGGCCCGGCAGCACTGCACCCACAGCACTCTCAAACAGCTGTCGCGCCTGCTCTGCCAAGGCCATGCTGCTGGCCAGCCGGGCCACTGGGCCCCCCCAGAAGAATGGATGCAAGGGGGCTCGGGCCAAGCGGGGCAGAACCTGCAGGGCTGCGGCCATGCCCCACTGCTCTCAGCACTGCCTGGCACCCATGGCTGCCTAGAGGGGAAAAGCACAACTGAGGCCCTTGCAAGGAAAAGGACAGGAGGTCCCCCACAGCTACCCCTCTCAGGGCTCAGGGCCAGTGGACCCCACAGCTGCTGCTACAAGAAGTAGCCATCTGATAGCCCCAGGAGACTTCTTGAAGCCCACAGCTGCAGGATCTCACTCCAGTCCTTGGAGACCAGCCCTGCCACTCAGCCATGTCCTTCTCTTCTGCAGACCACACGCCGGCTATCTGGATACCCTGCCTCAAGTCCAAAGTTCCTCTTAGCTGGGCCCTCCTCCTAGGCCATCCCTTTGGCTGGGAGTTAATCATTGACAGACGGAGTAATTTCTACCAGTGGGATCCCATCCCACCCCTTTTCCACCCCCTGCATTTCTGAGCTCTTACCCAGGGGCAACGCCCCTTTCTGGCACTCCTTCCTTGCCTCTTTACCACCTCTGCTGCCAGGAGGCTGTTGATTGTCCCACCAACTGACCCTCAGCCCATTGACCTCCAGCCTATTCTATTTCATTATCTTATGAGACTGGGATTAGGAGCCTGGGAAGTCAGGAGCTACAGGAGGCTAAAGGTTTATCAGATCAAGCCCACAGCACATCTTCAGGGCATGAAATCTGAGGAATCCCAGTATTCAGGACCAGTTTAGCAAGAAGTTTAGGTTTAAATCAGGAATTGGAACAAAGTCTGGCTCATGGTGGAACCTTAGGAAAGTCCCCAGGCACCATGTGAGGCCATGTGCCATGAAGCCCAATTGCAGGACAGAAAAGGATGCCCTTCTACCCACATAGCTGGCCAGACCCAACCCTGCCAAGAACACCCCTTCTGGTTCCAAGACAACAAAAACAAGTCCTATGTCACACCACTCACAGTGGTGAGAGCCCAGGGGCTGAAGTAGGCAAAGGCCAGGCTCCCAAAGCTAAGCCCAAAAAGCCATTTTCCTCACTGGGCAGAGTAAAAGCTAAAGAAGCCTTGGGCTGAAGGTCAGGAACCTGTAGAGAGGTGTAGGGACAACAAAGACCCAAAGAGCTCATCTGTACCACAGATGTACTATTGCACCTACTTTAATAAATGCCTACCATAAATGCTGCAAGCTGACTTCATCAGCAAGGAAGGATTGAGCAGGGTAAGGAGGCTGGGAATTGAGGTTTCAGCTCTACTACAGGTTTTCTGAGTGGCTGGGACACCTCCATTTCTCTCATTGGGCCTCATCCGCAAAATGAGACATGAGGTGAGATAACACTAAACTCTTCCCTTGACACTCTCAGGTTCTCTGATACTGTCCACTGTAACAGAGACGATCTCAAACACCCGTTTACCCCACACCCAAAGAAGGTGGTTACTTCTAGACTCTGGCCATTCTGCCTGCCTAGTTCTCAGCTCTCCTATAGGAGACGGCAGCTGTGCCGGACTTCTGTTGTGAAAGGGAACACAGAGGGCATGGTCATGGAGATTCTGAAAATGGGTCCAGTTTTTGCCAGGGGGACGCATGGGGCTTGCCCATTAGGCTTGGAGCTAAAAGCATCCTAGCAACTAAAACAGACGGTGCTTATAGCTTTGTATCTATTTCCCATATGGACAAGAGCCTGGAAGATCCCAGCCTTGCCACTGGATATGAGCACAGGACAGGGTGACGCTCAGTGCTAAGGCTGCCAGAGAAAATACAGGACGTCCGGTTAAATCTGAATTTCAGATAAACAAGTAATTTTTTTTTTGAGATGGAGTCTCCCTCTGTTGACCAGGCTGGAACATGGTGGTGAGATCACGGCTCACTGCAACCTCTGCCTCCCAGTAAACAATTAAAAAAAAATTTTTTTTAAAGACTTTAAAAAAGTTTTTTTTTTTAAGATATGGTGTTTCACCATCTTGGTCAGGTTGGTCTTGAACTCCTGACCTCGTGATCCACACGCCTCAGCCTCCCAAAGTGCTGGGATTACAGGCGTGAGCCACCGTGCCCAGCCAACAAGTAATTTTTAAAAAAACACGTCACACACAATGTTTAGGACTTAATGACAATTGTTCGTCGTTTATCTTAATTCAAATTTAGAGTCTGAGACCAGCCTAACACGGTGAAACCCCGTCTCTACTGAAAACACAAAAATTAGCCAGGTGTGGTGGTGGGAGCCTGTAATCCCAACGACTCGGAAGGCTCAAGCACTAGAAACGAGAATTGTTTGAACCGGAGAGGCGGAAGTTGCAATGAGCCGAGATCGCGCCACTGCACTCCAGCCTGGGTAACTCTGTCTCAAAATTAAAAAAAAATTTAACTGGCCGCTATGCATTTTTATTTGCAAAGTCCTCCAATTCTATCCAAAACATGGTCTCTCCAAAACTCCAGGAGGTTCCAGAGCAAAACAAGGAAATAAGAATACTACCAGCTTTGACTCCACCCTGCCATCAAAGGAGGCTGGCTCCATTCCCGGTTTGCCCCAGCCAGCAGGGGACGGAAGTGACGTCATCCCTAGGTCGGGCCGTCGCGAGGGAAATGGCTGTCCCGTAATGCCTGGTGATGCGGGAAAGAAGGGCCTGCTGCCACCGGGAGCCGTCGTCGCCCGGCCCCGGGATTAATTCTGAAGGCCATGTGAGCCCACGCGGAACAGACTTACCACCCAACACCTCCGGGCCGCAGCGCCCGGCGCTGGAGGCCGGAAGTACTCGCGGGTACGCGCAGCGGAAGCCGGAAGTGTGGGTGGGTGGAGTGGGGCTGGCGGGTGCGAGCTCTTGCTGAAGCAGGTATCTGGGAAAGGAGAATTTAGGATATTGGCTCTTCGCTGGCCGCCTGGAAGGAGTCACCTTCAGGCCTCACTTTCTTCATCTCTCCGTTAGGCATAATGATCCCCGCCTCACCGATTGCAGTTTGTTTTTTTTTTTTTAGACGGGATCTCACACTCGCCCAGGCTGGAGTGCAGTGGCGCGGTCTCGGCTTACTGCAACCTCCGCCTCCTGGGTTCAAGCGATTCTCATGCCTCAATCTCCCGAGTAACTGAGATTACAGGCATGCGCACTACGACCGGCTAATTTTTGTGTATTTTAGTAGAGACGGGCTTTCGCCTTGTTGGCCAGGCTGATCTCGAACGGCAAACCTCAAGCGATCCACCCACCTCAGCCTCCCAAAGTGCTGAGATTATAGAGTTGAGCCACCGCGCCCGCCCCCTCCCTTCCTTTATTCTGTACTATTAGTCAACAGATGCACTCTGAGTTCCTTTTAGGTGTCAGGCACTGGGCTGAGCAAACGAACTGAGAGTCACTACTTCCCCACGACTCACCGCTTCTGGAGCCAAATTAAGTCATTCCCGCTTCTCTTCATGGCTTTAATTCCACAACTTACTAGTGTTCTTCCCTCTCTCACCATGGGCCACCAAATACAGCTCTGGCTTAGCAACAGTTTTGTTCCGTGATCCTCAAGCACATAAGTTGCATGTAAACGCAAATGACTCTGGTCCTTCCTCACTGTCCCTGCTCTCTTCCTGGGCCCACCCTGAGCTGGCTTGATGCCTTCCCACATTCATTAGACGAGTCCTGCTCAGGCTCCAAAAACACAGAACAGTTCACTGTTTTTTACTGATGTTTTCTTAGGGAAATAGAGGGGAGAGTTGCGTCACAAATCACACACTTGATTTTCTAACAATTTTATTAAAACATGTTTCTTGGCAGGGCGCAGTGTTTCACGCCTGTAATCCCAACACTTGGGGAGGCCAAGGTGGGTGGATCGCTTGAGCCTAGGTGTCCAAGACCAGCCTGGCAACATGGCAAAACTCTTATCTCTACAAAAAAAAAAAAATCAGCTGGGCATGGTGTCATGCTCCTGTAGTCCCATCTACTCGGGAGGCTGAGGTGGGAGGATCACCTGAGCCTGGAAGGTAGGGGCTGCAGTGAACCTTGATTGTGCCACTGCACTCCAGCCTGGGCCCCTGTCTAAAAAAAAAAAAAAAAAAAAAAGCAATAAAAGAAAACACACTTCTTTCTTTCTTTTCTTTTCTTTTTTTTTTTTTTTTTTTTGAGGTGGAGTCTTGCTCTGTCACCCAGGCTGGAGTGCAGTGGCACAATCTCAGCTCACTGCAACCTCCACCTCCCAAGTTCAAGCGATTCTCATGCCTCAGCCTCCCGAGTAGCTGGGACTAAAAGTGCCTGCCACCATGCCCAGCTAATTTTTTTTTTTTTTTTTTGAGACAGAGTCTTTCTCTGTTGCCCAGGCTGGAGTGCAGTGGCATGTACTTGGCTCACTGCAACCTCCACCTCCCATATTCAAGGGATCCTCCTGCCTCAGCCCCCCTAGTAGCTGGGATTACAAGCACATGCCACCATGCCTGGCTAATTTTTGTATTTTTAGTAGAGATGGGGTTTCACCATGTTGGCCAGGCTGGTCTCAAACTCCTGACCTCAGGTGATCCACCCTCCTCTGCTTCCCAAAGTGCTGGGATTACAGGGGTGAGCCACTGTGGCCGGCCCATGCCCAGCTAATTTTTGTATTTTTAGTAGAGACGGGGTTTCACCATGTTGGTCAGGCTGGTCTCAAACTCCTGACCTCAAATGATCCCACCTGCCTCAGCCTCCCAAAGTACTGGGATTGCTGGCATGAGCCACTGCACTTGGCCCAAAAACACGTTTCTAACATCAACCTAAAAATCATCAAAAGGTTTGCGATCCAGTTAAAAGAATTTATTCAAGCATAAAATGTGAGAGCGGCCATCCAGGTAAACACAGACACCCAGCAGCGGCAATTAGTGCTCCCCAATGTGGGGAAAGCTGAAGATTGTTTATATAGGCAAAAATAAGGGTGCTGAAATTACAACATTTTCCAAAAAAAAGGCTAACATTAATACAAGATTTGACTGGCTACTATTAATTATACTTGAAGGATTTTGCTTAACATTCTATTGTAAAGAGACAACAATCACAAAGGTCTCTATCTCCCCCGTCATCTGGTCTAAGTTTGAATGAAGAATAGGGAGTCTGGTTAATGTATAACATTTCAACACAAAGGTCAGGAAGCAACAGTCATGCATCAGAGAATAAAAAAAGAAAAGGCTGTGCCTGCTCAGTTTCCAGGACTTAACTTTTCTTCTTCGCATTATAAATTTAGCATGTCCTGAAATTTCCTTTTCTTTTCACACTCCCTACCTGCTCCCTTTGGCAGTTGCTACATCTCTCCACAGTTCTCTAAACTATGCTGTGCTCTTGTCATGAACTTTTCCCCTCCCCCGGCCCCCACTTCCAGCTCTCTCACTGGATCGATCTCTCTCTCTCTCTCTCACTCTCTCTCTCTCTCTCACTCTCTCTTTCTCTCGACAGGGTCTCATTCTGCCACCCAGGTTGGAGTGCAGTTGTGCAATCTCGGGTCACTGCAACCTCCACCTCCCAGGCTCAAGTGATCCTCCCACCTCAGTCTCCAAAGTAGCTGGGACCACAGGCATGCACAACCATGCCCGGCTAATTTTTTGTAGAGGCGTGGTTTTGCCATGTTGCCCAGGCTGGTCTCAAACTTTTGAGCTCAAGCTATCTGCCTGCCTCTGTCTCCCAAAGTGCTGGGAGTACAGATGTGAACCACCACACCTGTCCTCCCTGGATTATTCCTTTTAAAATGAGACTTTGTGTTCCTGCTTCCAAATGATTTCCCACCACATCATCAAAGCAAAGGCATCCCCAGGTGGAATTGTCCTCTTTAATGTGGAGGAGGTTGTAACTACTGAAAATTTTATGGGTTTTCCTTGGTTATAGTCAGCTGTCTTCACCCATCCATGCATTTATTCCTTCCTCAGACATTATTCAAGACATTTCCTGAGTGCCTTCTGTGGGCCAATGCTGTAGCTGCTGGGAGAAGTAAAAAGTGGTACTTTTGGCCAGGCGAGGTGACTCTAGCCTGTAATCCCAGCACTTTGAGAGGCCAAAACGGGCGGATTACAAGGTCAGGAGTTCAAGACCAGACTGGCCAACAGGGTGAAACCCCATCTTTACTCAAAATAAAAATAAAAAGAAGTGGTATTTTTGCCGGGCGTGGGGGCTCACACTTGTAATCCCAGCAGTTTGGGAGGCTGAGTGGGTGGATCACCTGAGGTCAGGAGTTCAAGACCAGCCTGGCCAACATGGTGAAACCCCATCTCTTAAAAAAAAAAAAAAAAGCCGGGCGCGGTGGCTCACACCTGTAATCCCAGCACTTTGGGAGGCTGAGGCGGGTGGATCACTAGGTCAAGAGATCGAGACCATCCTGGTCAGCATGGTGAAACCCCGTCTCTACTGAAAATACAAAAAATTAGCTGGGCATGGTGGCGCATGCCTGTAATCCCAGCTACTCAGGAGGCTGAGGCAGGAGAATTGTTTGAACCCAGGAGGCAGAGGTTGCGGTGAGCCGAGATCGCGTCATTGCACTCCAGCCTGGGTAACGAGCAAAACTCCGTCTGAAAAAAAAAAAAAAAGAAAGAAAAAAGAAAAATGAAAGAAAAGAAAGAGAAAAAGAAGTGGTGCTTTTAATTTTAATTTAATTTTTTTTTTTTTTAGAGACAAAGTCTTACACTGTCATCCAGGCTGGAGGACAGTGGTAATTACAGCTCACGTTAGCCTCAATCTCCTTGGTGTTAGCAATCCTCCTACCTCAGCCTCTCAAGTAGCTGGGACTACAGTTGCACACCACCATGCCTGGCTAATTTTTTGTAGAAACAGTCTTGCTTTGTTGCCCAAGCTGGTCTCAGACTCCTGGGCTCAAGCAGTTCTTCTGCCCTGGCCTCCAAAAGTGCTGGGACTTACAGG